GAATGGACAGAACAATGTGAATGGACAGATTGAATGGACAGAACAATGTGGATGGACAGAACAATGTGAATGGACAGAACAATGTGGATGGACAGAACAATGTGGATGGACAGAACAATGTGGATGGACAGAACAATGTGGATGGACAGAACAATGTGGATGGACAGAACAATGTGGATGGACAGAACAATGTGAATGGACAGAACAATGTGGATGGACAGAACAATGTGGATGGACAGAACAATGTGAATGGACAGAACAATGTGGATGGACAGAACAATGTGGATGGACAGAACAATGTGGATGAACAGAACAATGTGGATGGACAGAACAATGTGAATGGACAGAACATGTGGATGGATAGACAGAACAATGTGGATGTGGATTGACAGAACAATGTGGATGGACAGAACAATGTGGATGGACATAACAATGTGGATGGACAGAACAATGTGGATGGACAGAACAATGTGAATGGATAGAACAATGTGAATGGACAGAACAATGTGGATGTGGATTGACAGAACAATGTGGATGGACAGAACAATGTGGATGGACAGAACAATGTGGATGGACAGAACAATGTGGATGGACAGAACAATGTGAATGGATAGAACAATGTGAATAGACAGAACAATGTGGATGTGGATTGACATAACAATGTGGATGGACAGAACAATGTGGATGGACAGAACAATGTGGATGGACAGAACAATGTGAATGGACAGAACAATGTGAATGGACAGAACAATGTGGATGTGGATTGACAGAACAATGTGGATGGACAGAACAATGTGGATGGACAGAACAATGTGGATGGACAGAACAATGTGGATGGACAGAACAATGTGAATGGATAGAACAATGTGGATGGACAGAACAATGTGAATGTGGATTGACAGAACAATGTGGATGGACATAATAATGTGGATGGACAGAACAACGGGGATGTGGATGGACAGAACAATGTGGTAATTCACGTTAGCGTCATGGTTAGACAACGCCTCTATGGGGGTTCAAACACACGACCTTAGGGTCGGGAGGGGGGGGGGGCGGGCGGGAAATGTGTAGGACATATGAACTTGTTCTTCTTCTTCGCGTTCACCAGCTGTACACTCTGGCGGAAAGTTATGGTTGCTTGTCCACTACTGAACTGCAGTCCTGCTCCAGAGCTTGAGTGTTGCGTGTGCATCAGTTTTACAAATCTCATTCTCTTGAAAACAGACTGTTGGTTCCTTGCCTCTCCGGCAGATGCACTCCGACTTCAAAGGAAGCTTCCCAATTGCGACATGCTTGTTGGGGAGACAGTGGGTCTGTTCTTGTTTTCCCCCACAATGGGGCCCCGGAACCCACACAGGGGACATATGTACTATATCAGCAGCTTGCGGTTATTATTTAACTCCTTCTGTCGCAGGGAGTTCTGACGTCATCTAATAACCGTTTGTTTAACAATGGGTTAAAATATTGTATAAGTACATTGGTAACACCATTTTCAAGTAAATTTGCCTCAGAACTCGAACGCCGCATCGGAACTCGCACGCCTGGCACGCGACGACTGAGATGACAAGGCAAAAGCCCAAAAGAAAGACTTTGCTGGAGGAACTTCTTCCTGTCAGCAGGCTGGAAGAATGAGCAATGCTAAAATTATATATATTTTTACCTTTCGGAAAGACAAGAAGTTGTAAGATGTACCCTCATAAAGTTTTAGTTAACAGGTGTGTAACTTATTCAATGACAACGTTATCGAACATTGTAAGAAGAAAAAATGTATCGCCAATACCAGAGCACTTTGGATCACTGGCTGTTACCAAAAAGTAGCGAACCCATGCCCTCTAGAAGTGTTAAACGACTGCAAAATGAAACACAGGAAAGGATTCATGATGTAATCATGCAAGTTGACTCACCTTCCAAACAAACATCTCCCTAAATCGCCCGTCATCCTCCTCTTACTTCTATCTGCTATGTCCCCGCACAGTCAATACAATTTTATTACATGGCTTGTATTTATTCACATTTATGTTCGGATATCTTCTTCTTCTTCTTCTTCTTCTTCTTCTTCTTCTTCTTCTTCTTCTTCTTCTTCCTCTTCTTCTTCTTCCTCTTCTTCTTCTTCTTCTTCTTCCTTTTCTTCTTCTTCTTCTTCCTCTTCTTCTTCTTCCTCTTCTTCTTCTTCTTCTTCCTCTTCTTCCTCTCCTTGTTCTTCTTCTTCTTCTTCTTCTTCTTCTTCTTTTTCCTCTTCTTCTTCTTCTTCTCTCCTTCTTCCTCTTCCTCTTCCTCTACTTCTTCCTCTTCTTCTTCCTCCTCTTCCTCCTCTTCTTCTTCTTCTTTTTCTTCTTCTTCTTCTTCTTCTTTTTCTTCTTCTTCTTCTTCTTCTTCTTCTTCTTCTTCTTCTTCTTCTTCTTCTTCTTCTTCTTCTTCTTCTTCTTCTTCTTCTTCTTCTTCTTCTTCTTCTTCTTCTTCTTCTTCTTCTTCTTCTTCTTCTTCTTCTTCTTCTTCTTCTTCTTCTTCTTCTTCTTCTTCTTCTTCTTCTTCTTCTTCTCCTTTGTTCACCAGCTGTGAGCTCCGGTGGGAAATCCTGGTTGTTAGTCCGTTTGGACTTTGGCTTTGTGCCAGGCCCTGAGTTTTTGCGTGTACATCAGTTTTACTGGTTTATGTGTGTGCAGATGGTTGTTCCTAGCCGCTCATGCAGATGCACTCTGACTTCAAAGGAGACCCTAATTAGTCGACTGCTACGACATGCTTGTTGAGGAGCCAGTGGGTCTGTTCTAGCTTCCCCCAGAATGAGGCCCACTAACCCACTAACCCACTAACCCACTAACCCACTAACCCACACGGGGAATATCCAAATATCGTTGAGTTGCTATAGTAACAATGTATTCTTTTTAGGCACATACATTTTAAAATTAGTGTTTGTTGGACACTAGAACAAATCAATTTAGTTTCCGTTATTTTTAATGGGGAAAATTGCCTAGAAACTCGAACATAGTCTAGGGACGGATTATGTTCGAATTTCGAGTTACCGCTGTAGAAGCCAAACAAATTATGGCGAGTTGCATAGTAAGGAATGAATTTAAAAACACACATTTCGCACTGGATGGAAAAATTGTATGTTGCCCAGCAAGAAGTATGCAGTGATACAAGTGGGAGGGGAGGGGGGGGGGGTGGACGAACAACAGTTTGCGAGATTATCAGTTTGTGTGTGTGTGTTGGAGATGTCTTTGAATCTCCTCTGAAAAGAAGATGATTTTGATTTTCACTGTGTTTGTTGTCAGACATAATTTACCGTCCACAAGTGGTGATGGCTTCAGTAAGTTACCTTTGACAAACATAATTTACCTTCCACAAGTGGTGTTGGCTTCAGTAAGTTACATTTGACAGACATAATTTACCTTCCACAAGTGGTGTTGGCTTCAGTAAGCCACCTTTTACGAATGCCTGTCAAGGGCAGCGCATCTACACCCCTTTCACTCTTCCTACACACAGATTGCGCCCAGCAGCTCACAAGAGAAGATTGACCGTTCGAATCCCAGCGCGCACTGCGGGATGACTGTATTGTCTACATGTACGAGGTCTGAAATTGTATATCCCCCAAATAAAACTGTCTCGGCAGTTGTAACATTTCACGTGAGAGTTTCTCTCTATAAGAAAACTTGTTTCCCTAATATCGCCATTTCTAATGCTCTCTCTCTCTCTCTCTCTCTCTCTCTCTCTCTCTCTCTCTCTCTCTCTCTCTCTCTCTCTCTCTCTCTCTCTCTCTCTCTCTCTCTCTCTCTCTCATTTCTTCGATAATTAAAAAAAAAGTATGTTTAGGCGGGTCGAGTATATGATGTTAAACCCACACTTGTAAACACTCATTGGCAGTCGATGGATCGTGTGGGAAACATGCCGTCGATGTATCTTGTCATCCCTTTTTAGGATGCAATTTTTCGTTATTTGAATTCCCACTCTGGCTCTTGCCAGGGGCCGCAATATAGTCAGGCCATAAATATGGTCTAACTGCTGAACGCGGTTTCTGGGACCTCTCCACGGGTAATCCTCATCCACATGGTGGCACTTTGTGTCATGGGGTGTTTATCGCTTGTGTGATATCCTGGTGGGGTTAAATAAGATAGATAGATATCGCGTCAGGGAAGTAGTCTCCCTTGTTACCCATGTTAGACTCCATCTACCAGGTCAATGATAGCACACCATTCACTGGATGCAGACTTGAGCCCAGGACCTCTCTCTCTCAGGCCGACAAACACGCGACTAGATTATTATTAACTAATTAACGAAATTATTATCAGTTAATTAAATGGGAATATTGGTAATAATTAATTGAATTACTTTAACTAATTGTTTAAATTATTTTTAACTAATTAATGCGGTTATGATATACTCCTTAAAGTCCAGGCTGAGTAGTCATGTCTATCCTCAACCTTCTGTCTCGTGTATACTGACTCAGCTCAGACGATCGTCCATGCCATGAGGTTAAACTGTCCGGCATCTTTTCTCGAAATCTTTCAGTAATTCTTTCAGTAATGGTCCCTACTTTAACTGTGCTTGTACAGTGGCTAGGACAACCCACCTAGTTTGGCAGCTGCTCTTACAGAAACATATTGCAACATATAGTGGCTAGGACAACCCACCCAGTTTGGCAGCTGCTCTTACAGAAACAAATTGCAACATATAGAGGCTAGGACAACCCACCTAGTATGGGAGCTGCTCTCACAGAAACATATCGCAACAAATAGTGGCTAGGACAACCCACCTAGTATGGGAGCTGCTCTCACAGAAACATATGGCAACCTAGTGTTGTTTGCAAAGCTCTCACAGAAAGATAATGCAACCTAGTGTGAATATTTTGCAAATCTATCACAGAAAGATATTGCACCCTAGTGTTGTTTGCAAAGCTCTCACAAAAAGATTTTGCACCCTAGCGTGAATATTTTGCAAAGCACTGTCTGTGTTTTAAACTTATGAATAAATTAACAAGAGGCAACATAACAGGAGCCACTGACCTAGTCGATCAATCTCGTGACAGTTGGGGCAGTCACACGTAGCCCGGCCCGTGTACCGTCGGGAACTCCTTGGACTCGGCAACCCTGGCAGTGGTGGCCGGGGTAGGAACGGCGACACTGGGCTGGTGTTGAGGTTCAAATCCGACTGTGTCGGCTGTAACATAGATTTATACGTGTCCTGTAAAAAGTGTTGCTGTGAGGACAGAAGGGAAGGGTTCGAGGCTAGTGGGTGACTTATATGATAGTCTGAGGCTGGGTACGAGGCGGCGGCGATCTGCCCGTGGAGTGTCGAGGAGTCCGATAGCCAGTTGCTGCCCGCGGGGTGCATGTTTGCAGCTGGGTGCACCTCCCACCAGGCAGCTCCGCCACTGTTGACTGAATGCCCCATGTCGTTGTGTTTGAGTCCGTGTGTGGCTCCTGGGTGTGTGGTTGGAATGTTCGAGAAGGCCCAGGCGTGATCATAGGCGCTAGGCATGGACGGGACCCGAGAATAGACGGAACCGAACCCAGCACCGCTAATTCCATTGTCACTGTGCATTCTTTGAAGCAGCGCTGCCTGGGAAAGATCTGGCGTTTGGGAAGTGACGTGAACACCGGTACCAGCCCCAGAATACAGCAGTTCGTTTGAGTAAGAAGCGTGGTGGTTTGAGGACACCATTGTCGAACGTGGATAGGAAAGATTGTTGGTCATTTGTAAAGAGGCATGATTGAACCCGCCCATCCTTTGCTGGGTGATGTGGTGGTGAAACGATGCAGGTGACGGGGCACTCGGAGATTGCTTCTTCCAAGGCATGAAGGATTTTCCGACGGTTGCCTCGGCAAGTGGTGGTGGTGACTTACTCGTGATCTTGTTGCACTGGGCAGCTAGCATAGCCAGTGGGGTTCCTCCAAAAGCTTGATGGTCCTGCGGGAGAGAGAAACAAAATAATAAAGTCTGTTTGATATGGTTAAATTGGTCAATATTGAAGGGAAAGAAATCTAGAACGCTTTCACGCTTGGCATCCAATTAGGGACTGAAGCAATTACTAATGAACTACAATTCTTCTGTAGCCTGCAGAAAATAGAAGAAATTAAAGAGTATGACTAAAAAAAAAAAAAAGTTTTGGGATAGAAAAAAGCAAATCACAGTGTGGAATGAGATGAGGAGAAAAACACTGGCGGTGGATAGGACACACATTTAGAAAATCTGATAATTTAATCTAGAATGAGAACTGAGAAACACATAATCAGAAAGTTTTTAAAAAGCATTCACTCACACACTCACACACACATACAGGGAGAACAGAATTAGAGCCGCTATGAATCAGGCTGGGAGGCTGCTCTCACACACACTCACACACACATTCAGGGAGAACAGAATTAGAGCCGCTATGAATCAGGCTGGGAGGCTGTTCTCACACACACTCACACACACATTCAGGGAGAACAGAATTAGAGCCGCTATGAATCAGGCTGGGAGGCTCTTCTCACACACACATACAGGGAGAACAGAACTAGAGCCGCTATGAATCAGGCTGGGAGGCTGCTCTCACACACACTCACACACACACATACAGGGAGAACAGAATTAGAGCCGCTATGAATCAGGCTGGGAGGCTGCTCTCACACACACTCACACACACATACAGGGAGAACAGAATTAGAGCCGCTATGAACCAGGCTGGGAGGCTGTTCTCTCACACACTCACACACACATACAGGGAGAACAGAATTAGAGCCGCTATGAATCAGGCTGGGAGGCTGCTCTCACACACACTCACACACACATACAGGGAGAACAGAATTAGAGCCGCTATGAATCAGGCTGGGAGGCTGCTCTCACACACACTCACACACACATACAGGGAGAACAGAATTAGAGCCGCTATGAATCAGGCTGGGAGGCTGCTCTCACACACACTCACACACACATTCAGGGAGAACAGAATTAGAGCCGCTATGAATCAGGCTGGGAGGCTGTTCTCACACAGACTCACACACACATACAGGGAGAACAGAATTAGAGCCGCTATGAATCAGGCTAGGAGGCTGCTCTCACACACACTCACACACACATACAGGGAGAACAGAATTAGAGCCGCTATGAACCAGGCTGGGAGGCTGTTCTCACACAGAGTTGGCTACAAGCCCTGGTCCAAATTAGAACGTCAGTTGATTGTCGGCGTCTGCTTCAGTGAAGATAAAGGACAGCAGAAGAAGATAATGATGGTGGTGATAGCGACGACGAGGAGACAGGGTCAGTCACCCAAGATTTAACCAGACGATGATATACTTGAGAACAACAAAAACGAGTGAATGCAATCGAGGGGATTGGAAGAAGTCTCTCACCACAAAACACAATCTGTACACGTCTTTTCTGTTGCCGCTGCTGCGCTGTCAGGCCTCGGGTGCCTCTGTGTTGGGTAGCTACACGAAAACATGCCTACCACGTGCCTCTAACAACAAAACCGGTTAAACGTGTCTCCGAGGAACATATTTATTTACTGAAGCTCCAACAATT